TTGATGATCTTTAAGGTCCCTTCCAACCGTAGCCATTCTGATTCTATGATATTAGGAAACTGTTCCTGGGTGGAAGCAACATGTAGCCATGGCACAAGTCTTGAGAGAAGTGGGCAATCTCCATACCTGAGGGTGGGTTTTGGGACTGGGCTAAGCAAATCCACGATGGCCCTGACCTAGGTTTGGCAAAAGCCTTCCAAGGAAGTTGGACTAGAGACCTCCAGACATCCTTCCCACTCAACATTTCTATGATTTTGCACTTTTTTTTTCTTCAGAAAAAAAAACAAATCTTATTTTTTCAGGTCAACCTTTCTAATGGAAATAGAGAGAATACATTAATATCCCAAGAAAAGAGAGCTTCAAAACTTCAAAAACTTATGATTGCTATCAGAATTTATCTATTTAACATTCATTTAGTAAAATAAACCAAACCTCAGGTGAGCCATCAGCTCTTTCTCCTCCATGAGGAAATCCAGAAGAACTTTGCTAGCATAGTTGTATGCTTTTTCTATTTGTTCCACATATGCTCGCTCTTTTAAAGTATAGATGACCTCTTTAGCCACAGGGCAGGTAACATCACGTCCACATTCTCGCACAACATTTAAATATTTCCCTGGAAGCAAAAAGAAAGAATTACCTACGTTCATACCTACTGTACATCCAACAGGGCAACTTTCAGACCACTACCTTCAAGCGGAAGATATGCCGTGAAATATTTACACTGAGTCCTACTGAAAGGTGGAAAGGATTCAGATGCCTTTCAAAAGATGATGCAGAATTTTAAATTAGGCATCTAGTATCATGTTTAAGGAGAGATTTAAAAAAGGTTTTGCTTCCCAAACAACACCTCTCTGCAGATGCAAAACATTTCTGCAGCTAGCCAGAAACTTTGAAGATTTGGTGCTGCATTTCAGAAGCAACTTTTGAAGGGTTTTGTACTTATGGCAGAGAACAATGGTAGCCAGCAGGTTGCATGCTTCATTTAACACCCAAATTAAAACTCAGCATGTTCAAACCTCAGTTGTCTAGCTCCATCTAGCTAGCTGCTAGAAAACTGCATCCATGAAACAGAGCAGTAAGACAGACAGCTCCCCTTGCCGCCGGACTCCTGCCCACGTGCTGTTTTATTTGTAGGATTTGGTGTTCTTTTAAAATTCTTCTCTTCTTCTGTAAAGTTCAGCTGGACAACACCATAAACTGGCAAAGCATGATGACATTTACTTTATCTTTACATAAAGAATGGTAATGCTTGTCTCAAGCTTCCTCGTACATCACAATCAGATCTTTACCTACCTGTGCTTAGTATTTTGTCAGCCATTTTCTGCAAGAATGAGGGAATCTGTTGCTGAACAACAGTATATCTTTGATCCCAATATTTGTCATTATAGTCTTCCTGAATCTTTTCCTTCTGCAGCTCATGTTCCTCCACCATGAACTCACTGAACAGTTAAAGGAGATGTTTAGAAGCAGGAATTGGTACAATGATAATTACTTATTTTTTGACCTGTAAACTGGTAATACGATCAATAAGAATAAGGTCTCATGAAAACACATTCCAATCAAGCACTGAAATTAGTCTGTACATGTAGTAAGAGGAGAAGCATTACGCAGAGTGTTTCTGATAATCTGCAATTAACTACAACAGAAACAGAATTGTATAGGGTTCACAAACCAAATCTAAACATTATGTGGTTGTCAGTGTAGAAGGGAGGAAGCTGCCCTTTGTCTATCTTCTCACCATCAGGAAGGCACTAATTTTAGCTATTTTAACTTCAGTTTTGCCCCCCCTTAGAATTCTGAAAATGTGAGAAACAGAAATGCTGCATAAGCTACTAAACACAGCTAAATGCTTCAAATGATTCTACAAAAGCTAAGAAACTTCACAGTGTGTTGCTAGCTCATATCAGATTAGCATATTAGTGGCCTACATTTAACACAGATGCACTGAGTTATTACACTTGTGCCCCATGAGAAGAGGCTCACCCCTGTCACAAAGAGGATGAGGATGTGAGAAGAGAATACTTAAGGGGGGACAGGCACGGTAAGGTGGAATTAGAGTGGACTGCATGTTTGAACTGTTGTGTTGTTGACTTCATTTTAATTCCTGAACTGTTCTTTACCTGTATGGATCATTAATGATGCCTCGATATATCCACTTTTCCAGAATTTCAAAATAAGGCACGCTGGCTGCCTTGGTTAAATACAGGCACAGCTCCTGGGCCTGGCTGTCCCCTGTGTAATTGAAAGTCTTGTCATGGAGTAAGCTCAGGGTTGATCCTCCCATACACTCGCCTTTATCCACAGAAGTAGCTAAAATTTAAAAATATAGACACAAAGCTGACACAGATTAATCGCACGCAATGAAGTTAGCGGTTGATTAGCTGACCAACCGAAGGCACAGAGCTCCACCTCAGCTGCAGAAACCCTCGCGTGAAGATGCAAGGCCATTCCACCACACAACCAAAAGCTTGCATCCTGCAATGTCCTGAAACAAAAACCCAAATGCTCCACAATTTAAAAAAGCAATAACCAAACCCAACCTTCCAGCAAAGCAGAACTGAACTCAGGTAGACTCAAGGCACACGGTAGCTCAGAGTCAAAAGGCCTCCTACGCTGAAGCGACCGTGCATACAGATCCACTTTCCAGGTGGAAACGGAAGAAACACACACTTCAGTGGCTTCCTTGAGAAACCTCTGATCTCAAAAGTACTTCTGTTCTTTACTGCAACACTGAGGTAGCCATGTGTATACAGGATTTAGGTAGGTCAACAGTGAAACCTGTTGTTTGCCATTGCAAAAGAGACGTAGGGACAGAGGAATACAGTACTGCCATTAGTTTCGGGTCAAAGTAAACCTTAATTGTAGTTGGCTAACTGCTGTGTTCCAAAAAACTGAAAACTTCAGGAAAAGTGAATACCAAGAGGTATCATCCAATTTCAGATTGTAAATAGAACAGATATTTACATCCACATAAATCCTCTGGGCTGAGTAGAGATAAACGTGCAAGTATTCTCATGACAAAGAGTTTAATTAAAATTCTGGAGGTAACTGCATCTGTGACCAACAACCTGATGTGACAGCACAGGCTGGGACCGGCTGGCTGAGGAGCAGCACCAAAAAGAACAACCAGGGTTCCTGTTGGATAACCAGCTGATTGTGGGTCAGCGACGTGTCCTTGCAGCAACGAATGTCACCTGCACCCAGGGCTGTACCGCCAGTGATGATTTCCCTCTGCCCAGCACTGCTGAGACCTGGAACACTGCATTCAGTCTGAGGTCCCCAGTATGAATGAGAAAATGAAGACTCCATCCGAAGTTAATAAGATGGTGGGTGGCTGGTGCCCAGAGCATACAAAGAGAGCCTCAGAGCTGGGCTTGTTAATTGAGAGAAGAGAAGATGAAGCTGGCGGTTGTTGAACATTATTCCTTCACTATCCAACAGATGGTCCTAGAGGATAGGGTATGAGACTCCTCTTGGAGGAGCACAGTGACACTATCAAAAGGGCAAAAGTTACAAAAAGGGCAATTCCAGATGGTGAGACAGAAAGAAATGTTTACAGAATAGGTGGTGAAGTCATGGGAAAGGGCCCAGAATGGTGGAGCATCTCCATCGCTGGGGATTGTCCAGACTCGCCTGGACATGGCCCTAAGCAATCCCCTGTTAGGGGGTTAGACTAGAAACTTCCAGGAGTTCCTTCTGCTTGAATCAGTTTGTGGTTATACAACCACCCCCAGCTGGAGAGGGATATGTAAGGAAGCTCAGTAGAAACAGCAGTGGTGGAAAAAATTGATCCAAAGGGCATGGACTGTGAAGGTAAAAGGCATGGACATGCCTCATGACAGCTCTGAAGGGCAAATTC